GGGGTCTCGGGGGATACCCCTTCCCTCGGTACCCCCCCCTGCGGCCACTACGAGAGACCATGCCCCGGGGGGGCTGATGTTGGTGTGAAATGATGCACACTGTACCTGTCCCAGGGGCAATCACACACGGGGATGACGGCAGTACCCGCACACTGCCTCAGCCGAGCTCCCTGGCCGGCCGTGCCGAGCTGCTCCCCGGCTTTACTAAAGAAAAACTGGGGTGACACTCTTCACCTGATAACCTCCATAAAGCATTAAAAAAGGCAGGTCTCCAGCACCTGCCTCGAATATCTGATCTCAGGGTGTCTTGGCCTGAGACAATTCGCAAGTGCTGAAAGATCTCACTGTTCCTACTCACAGCGCATTTGAAGGATCACAGATTTAAGAAATTATTAAAAAACTAGTAAATGCCCCATCTTTCCCTTCTGTGACAGGGCGACGAGACTCCTTACTGTCAAATGTGCAACCTTACGCACGCGTCTGCAAGGCAGACAGGCAGCGTTCACGAGAAGAGAGATGACGGGGTGCAAACGTGGTTAAACTGGGACTTGCCAATGACACAGAAAAAAAATTTCCACTTTCACTTTTTCAAGATTTCCAAATCCTCTCCCCGCCTCTGTATCTCCCTAACTTCCCACGTCTTGTTGTTAACGTGAATTACGATTACCACTTCCCCATGAGCTCGTGCTTTTTTCCGCTCCTGTCACTGACCTTCTCACTCTTCACGTTGCTTTTTCTTCTACTCCCTGCTCCCGGTTTTTTCTTTCGCCTCATCCCTGTCTCCCAGGCTGTCACACCAGAGCTCCTCTTTGTTTACTTCAGTCCTTCTCACCTGTCATTTCAAGCATTTCTTCCCTTTTTAAAAAACCTGTGACTCCGTTTTCAATTTACTGTTTTGAACACTTTCCCTCCATCTGTGAACTCCTCTCACCCTCTTTTTAACATCGGCATTTTCTCCTCCATTCCTGCCGTTCATCATCTGCCGTTATTTTTTTCTCCCCCGGCCAGCTCCCTCTTTCCCAAAAAACTCACCTCCGCTTCTGCGTCACGGTGAGATCCTGGACACGAGTCTTTCACTGCTGCCAACCATCACCCGCTCCTCGAGGCCGAGCAAAGACCTTGGTAGCCATCCTTCAACGCCCCGTGGTGTCTCGTGCCCGTTCAAGATTCCTTTGCTGCCCTTACAAGTTGGCAGGTTTGCGTGCGTAGCATCCACCCGAGAGCTCTGAAGGTACCACGAATGAAGTAAATTGCTGGCAGAAAGGTGGCATCTGCAATTAAAGCTAACGAGCACACCTCCTGGACTGGGGGAGAGGGGGAGCGAATAAAAAGGGCAAAGAAGTGAGGATGATGGTTTGGAGATTACAGAGCTGTAGCTTTATGTCACTGCCAGGCAAGTCACATGAAGCAGCAATTTAGAAGTATTAAAGAGAACACAATACAAAGGCTCATTAAGTCTCCGCACACAAAGCCAAGCCTCCGATTTATTAGGTACTTAAGATGGCACCGAACCAGAAAACACTGCTTTAAACTTTGAAAAACAAAAAACCTACTGGAAAAAACAAACAACCCAAAAGACCTCGTAGTAAAGGATGGTACAGACAAAAAGGTGCATTTATGTAGTAGGAATCGCTAAAGGCAAATGGGGGAAAAAAAAATCCATCTCTCTTCGTCATGGCAGATGTACACACCGCCACCAGAACCTGCGGCGTTTACAAGAGAGGAAGCAAGCAATGAATTACCGACATTTGCAAACCGCAGCAGCTCCCGGTGGCGGTCAGGATCACGGAAAGGCGCCCGGCGAGGTTTAACCAAGCCAGGCAATCCCGCGGCACCACCCTCGGTGCGGCGCGGCGGGGCTGGCACCCCGCGGCCGGACGGGGCGGCTGCACGCTCGCTGCAGGGGAGACGCCATTTGG